GGCTCATGGAGGGATACTCCCTTAGCCTAAAGACAGGAGAGAAGGCCTAGTCCCTACTCCAAATGACTGGCCAGATTCAGATGACCCCTCCTGGAGAGCATCACCCTACGTGTGGAGTGGAGGGGAGGGGGGAGGAGGGTGGTCAGGGGCATGAGAGGGTGGGAGAGAGGAAAAGAGGGAGGGAGAGGGAACTGGGATGGATATGTAAAATAAAATAAAAAAATAAATTGTAAAAAAATGCTGTTGAGAAAAAATATGAGCATTTTAAAAGGAAGAAAATAAATAATACTGTCAGTAACTCATTATGGATTTAACCATTTTTAAAAATGGAACTGAAGTAAATTCCTACAGAAAGAAATCAAAATATTCCAGACACTTCTTAAACATCTGTAATATTTGAAAGAATTCCAAATAAGCAAACAGAGAGAGGGAGGGGGGATAAGCACACATGGAAAGGAGGGGAGAGTAAAAGACAGAGACTGAGAGATGGAGAAAGAGAAATAGAGAGGCAGAGGAAACAAAAATTGCCAGGCAGGGCTCTTAGTTTAAAGGAAACAAAGGATCTGTCTTTTCATGGAGCCCAGAAGTGTATCTCCTAGAATATTTCCCTATTCTTTGAAGAGATTGACCATCAAAAAAGCCTTCTTAATAGTGACACTGTATGATGCTAATTCCAAATAACCAAAAGAAAATGTAATATAACTGAAGGAAAAGCATATTGATAAAATCAACTAATTCCAGAGGAAAATGATATCATTCCCATCATTCAGAAGAAACTAGAGCAACTAGAGTCTATCTATTGACATTGTGCTGGAGTGCATTCTGAGTTGACATATTTTCCTTATGCTGCTGTCTAGAGTGGTATAATAGCTACTGTGAGTCCCCAATGGTGTCAGATGGAGTTCGTCTGGTCAATGCAGAGTGATGTCCCCACAGGCAACCAAAAGGCATGGCATACATAGGTAATATGTCTACAAATCGTGTCATCATCAGCACTTCCTTAAGCACATTTCAGATCCCAAAACATGGGCAGCCAGCTAAGTGCCCACACAAGGCTTTAAAGTACTCATTAAGGAAAATTATTTCCTCTTGCTTTACTAAAAACTTTCTTTTCGATGACTTTTTTTTTTAATTTTCAAATGTAAAACCACCTTAATAGGCCAACAAAGTCTAGGACCCTTCCCTGGGTGAGCTATTGGAATGTCGGCATATGTAGGTAGTGGGGGTTTGGAGCCATAGGAACAATGATTTTTCTATCATTTGAATATCATAAAGTAGAACAACAAATATGATTTTTCACTCTCATTTGGAAGTTATTAGTAGACTTTCCTTTGTTGCATTGAGAAGAAATATGAAGTTACAGTGAACCCATATGGCTAACAGAAAACCCCATTTAATTGCTTTATTGCCAGAAATGTTAAATAACTTCCTGAAGAGGTAGTTCAAATGAAACATATGGCAGCTATTAACAAGGGACCCTAACAAATTCAAAAATATGCTCTCCTTGGGAACTTTCTCATAAGCAACAATTGTACGTGTTATGTTCATTCCACAAACATTTGATGAACCGCTACTTTGCAGTTGGGTAAGTACAGCCATCTTTCATGAAAAGTCTATGGTAATCCCCAGAATAGATCATTGGACCCAACTGTACTCATCATGCCAATCTTGGACGCCCAAGGGTAAGAAGACAGCCTTCTGAACAATGCCTCCCTCCCAAGTGTCCAATGCCTGAAACCATTCCATTTCCACCTGGGTAATCTTCTGTCTTAAGATTTATTTATATTCTTATTAATGTATACATGTGTTATACAACATATATGGGTGCCCCAGGGTACAAAAAGAGGGTGTCGGGTTAGTTATTCAAGGAGGGGGTCAAGAGTCAAACTTGGGACCTCTGTAAAAGCAGCAAGCCACCTCTCCAGACCTGCACCTGGAGACGCTTAATCATCTACTTACCTAATCATTTTCCTTCAACACCATACCAGTGATAGAGCAGGCCACTGTCGCTCAACATCCACTGTGTGGAACTACGTTTTGTCTTTTCATGTGTCTTTGTCAACTAGATTATGATTTCCAGATTGAAGAAAATTGTTTTTTGTACCCAAGATATTATAAGACTTGTAATTAAGAGTCAACAAAAAGCTTTAATTAACTGAATACTATGTGTCAGCATTTTCTAATTACTTCAATGCCTTACATCCCTGCCTAATTTCACAAATTTAATTCATTTATGCATAGATCACTTTCTGGAGAGACAGTCTGCCTTCAAAAGCAAGTCAGTGGAGAGCTATCCAGTTGTTACTATGATGGGAACTTGCTTTAAAAGACAGATTATCACCATCTAGGCACATTAAACTCTCTTTTTTTTTCTACTTTGTAATATGACTGTTGAAGTTGCTTAATGGAAATAAGATTTGGAAAATTAAAACAGCATGTGGAACATGGTAAAATTCCAAAATAATAAGCACTAGCCACATGAAATATGGACATGGGGCATATTAAAGGTAAAATATTTTTCCCTCACAAGTCAACTCGATGATTATAATTTTATTAAATATTCTACATACTAAGGATATATTTTTATAATCAAATAAAATATGGGAAATAGCTGTCTGTTGCTGGGCAATTTGTATATATTTGTGAGTATTGCAATATTGGTGTATTTCTCACCAGAGAACCTCACAGACTTGTTTCCTCCATTAGCCAGAGTGCTCTAATGAGTATGCATGGAAGCCAACATCCCAAGGGGTATTCCTAGCTTTCATAATTGACCATAGGACCACACACAAGCTACTATAATCTGTCGGGCTTTGTTTGATAGTTCTGAGGATTGAGTGGATTTGTGCAGGTAAAAGTTTAAAAGTATACCCTTCATGTACTAAACACCAAGTACATGTGAGTTGAATTGTACTGGGGTCTTCCTCCAAGAATGTCCTTTAAGTCCCTGTCACCTGCATTCATAATTTTGTCATCAATCAGAAGGCTTCTATTGCTAGTACTCTTAGTGATGGAACAGAATTTGATGTCAAAAACCCTTCCACTGAAGACACCATGCAGTGTTGTTACAGAACATGGGATGAATTGAGCTGGTACTAACCCTGGAAGCTTGCTCCATGGTGGCTGGATTTCAGGGTACCAGAGAGTATTATGCAGTATGCTTGGGGAGAGAAGTCATCAACACTCTTACCCAGCTGTGGATCCTCAAAGCTTTGATAATGATCAGTCTGGAAAGATAACCCCCATGGATACCATGGTGGCACAAGTGTTATGGAAGTGGCCAAAGGCTATCTGATTGTATTTAAGGCCCACTCCACAAGACAGCATTCATACTAAGCACTATAAACTTGTCCAAACCTCCTTGGCTAAGGAGGTCAAAGAAAACCTACTGATATTAGTCTTCTAAGTGGAAAATGCTTTGAACTTCCTTCTAAGTAAGTATATAGTTCTAAGGATGGACTCTCATAGACTAGTGCATCTCTCAACCTTCATCAAAGAAGTCTCTTTCCATGTGTGTCTCTCTCTGTCTCCATTTTCTTCTCTGTCTCTATGTCTAGTTGTCTCTGTGTCTGTCTCCTCTCTGTCTCTGCCTATGTGTGTCTGTCTCTTTTTTGCTTCTTCTTCTTCCTCCTCTCCCCCCCCCCACACACACTATAAATCACATATATAACCTTTCCTATCTTAGCTCTGTTGTTGTTCCCTGAAGACAGAAGAATCACTACGTAATCTGTAGTCAGAGGTTGTCACATAGAAATCTCAATGGAGGGATCTCACAGACTTGTAAAAGCCTCTGTAATCTGTGTGCATGCTTACAGGTATACCTAAATACTGTGGAATAATCCACAGTATTTGTCACTCAAATTGGTTTAATAAAACGCTGATTGGCCAGTAGCCAGGCAGGAAATATAGGTGTGGTGACAAAACTAAGGATGGTGGGAAGGAGATGGGTAGAGTCAAGGGTCACCAGCCAGATACAGAGAGAGCAGGAGATGAACATGCCATGCTAATAAAAGCACCACTATGGGACAGAGTATAAATAAGCAGTAATATGGGTTAATTTAAATTGGAAGAGTTAGCTAGTAACAAGCCTGATATAAGCCTCAGAGTGGTTATTTGGGAACTAGAAAGGCAGGAGAAAAAATGTCCCCACACTCATCTACATGTAACAGAGAGAGTGAGAGAAAGAGAGAGAGAGAGAGAGAGAGAGAGAGAGAGAGAGAGAGAGAGAGAGAGAGGTGGGGAGAGGGAGGGAGAGAGAGAAAGAGTTAATGCTTCTGTGTTATTTTAGAAAAGAGAAATTGAGGACTAGAAATTCTAGCTGTGGAATTCATTCTGGGTATTCACAAAGAATAGTCTTAACAGTTGTGCTCTGTAATCTTTTGGGACCTTTCATTTTACTCATTCTGAGTCTTTTGCTTATCAGATAATAAAAGTAATAATGAAATTGACTTTTTAAACCTTTTATATCAATAAATTAATCCACAGAATCACTGCCCAGAATAACAGTAAGTTAGCAAGACTGTTTCTTCTTCTGGGCACCTGGAATGCCTTTATATTCAGTTATCCCAGCAGCCCTAGGAATACATGAGGTTTTCCACCTGTTAGAAAAGAGGCTGACAGCTCACTCAAGTGCTTACTGAGGGTAGAGAAAGATCAAAGGACCTGAAATGCCTGAATACGGACTCAGTAATTTGCTTTGTGGGCCTCCCAAAAATAGGACAAAGAAATTCATTCAAAGTCAGAGAATATATTTAGCCTAATACAGTGCCAATATCATTTAAAGACAATATAGACAGATTCTAACTTCAGAGCAGAAAAGCATTATGAAATAAATGTGGCTCTCACAGCCAGGTCTAATGGCTTCACAGACTGCTCCACAATGCTTTTTCTATAATCTGGATCTAGTGTTTACTACATTTATGATACATTAATCCTAATGATATTAGTTAATTTTTTCTAATAGGGTTGTAATTGTATGCATCTCTTTTCTTTTTTTTCAGGCTGTTCCATGTATTGGGGAAAAGGAAATGGCTGGTAAGCTAATGTTTTGGGTTATGTTTTCTCTTCTACTTATTTTAGTGTGAAATTCTACCTTAAAATAGAAATCTCTCTAAATATCTAAAATACACCAATCTCATCAATTTCTGTGGGAAATTTTATGGTTAAATTAGCAAAAGAATGAGATGTTCTCAAAATGTAAGAAAAGTATGGCTTTTTAGCATCACATTGTAGTATGTTAAAAGGTTTCTTGTAGCCTTACCGTTAACTGCAATTACAATGTTTTTCTCTCTCCAGGAAAAATTTTTGATGTTGGTCAATGTGTTGAGGAGTGGTCTTTGAAAGCTGATTGTTTATATTGAAAGCTTTATTTATTTATTTGGTTTTTTTTTTTTTTTTAATCTCAAGTAGCTGGTTTGGTCGTCACAAATAGATGTAGTTGATGGTTAAAGTGGGCACTGCATGATCGAAAGTAGCGAGGAGACATCGGAACTGCTGGAGAAGAGATTCTCTTGTTCTGCACACTCTGTGATGACTGTAACTGTTCCACAATAGTGTGGGAAAAATAGGAAAGGACTGATGAGAGACACTCAAATAGGGAAAACAGGGCTGGAATGTTGACTTGGTTGACTTGTGTGCTTTAAACTCTGCTGGTCTTTCTCAATATCATTTTCTGTGTCCTACCTAAAGAAAACAAAAAGCAAAATGGAAAGCAAAACCAGTTTGAATGCACAATGCCAATTTGAAGAATATCATTTACTTTGCAGACATGTGATCTTATTTAGATTGTAGACAGACATGTGATGTTTAAGAGCAACAGTGAAGAGAGGTTGCATCCAAGCAAAAGGAAGTATTGTGATTTCAAGTGCTCTCATGAGTTTAGGGCTTGTAGAATGTGAGTATTTATTTACTCAGATTTATTTATGTATTTATTTGGAAGAAGGAAGTATGCATACCATGGCATGGGTGTTGTTCTTTTGCTGCAGCTAATGCCTATAAAACACAAACACGAGACTCAGAGCCCACGTGGAGTTTATTGAGAGAGGGGAGAGAAGGGGGGTAGCTGGTGGCCAACCAAAAGCAAGAGAGAGAGAGAGAGAGAGAGAGAGAGAGAGAGAGAGAGAGAGAGAGAGAGAGCAAGAGGGGGGCCAGAGAGAGAGAGGCCAGAGAGAGATGCCAGAGAGAGAAAGAAGCTCTTGCTTTAAAAAGGGGGCTTGCGCATGTGTAACCGAGTCCTTTGGCAGCCAGGTAAAGCTTGACATAGTGATGACATGGCCATGAGCATCCCACCCATCGTTGGGGGTGGGGGTCAGCTGGCTGCTAGTTCCTAACATTGGGTATGGAAGTCAGAGGTCAGTTTCTGGTGGGGGGGTCAGATTTCTCTTTCTCCCACATGGGTTCTTGGACCTTGATGTTTGCTATTGAATGCCTTCACCCAACTGAGCCATCTTGCCATCTTTGTGGATGGTAATGTTTATCTGTTCTTATGGGGATCTTTTCTGTGGCCAGACAGTTTTCTCACAAAGATCTTAGCTCTTTAGTTCTGTGACCTGAACTTCTCCATCATGTTTAGTTGATATCTGATTTCTTCAATCTAATAATAAATTGAGAACCCCTAAGAATTGGAGGAAATGATTATTGTAATTTTAAAAATCTGTACTAGAGAGAAGGATGCCATGCAACAGAGCTTGGGTAGAGGTTTGAGACAAGAAGAAAGGAAAAGAGGAAGAGAGAAAGTACACAGGTGATGGTCTTAATGACTGCAGCTGAGGGTGTATCCTGTCAGAACCCCAAGGGCAGGCCAATACAGATAGATGCCTGATACTAACAATGATAAAGGTGGATCCAAGTTTCTGAGAAAGAAAAATAAAGCTCTGTGTTACAAATAGACTCTCATCATGCAGATTAACTACACCTTCTAGGATCAGGGAATTCAAAGTAACTTGTTAAAATGCACCATGTCTTCGTGCAGATTTTGCTTGGCTATCAAGTTACACAAGAACTAAATGGTTAAAAGTGTACGTATACATTTCAAAGGCAAAGCAACTTAGATCTCCATTTTGTCTGGGGTTGTGATATTTTCTGTAATTCCCTAGATTAGCTGTGATTTAAAAAAAAAAAGTGTGTAACAGAGCAATGTTGTCATCTTACTCCAGAATGGTGGCAAATTCATTCATTCTCCCAAGGAAACTATTCAAGTGTAAAAGTATTGACTGATGGGGAGAGAGAGGAAGAGAGGAATGCCCCTGTCTGAGGATACAGAGTAGCAAAGAGCAATAGCTCCTTCCTCTTCCACTTCAATGGTCCCATTTGGAAATAGTATTTCAAAAATGCTATTATAACTCGGAATTAAGCATAACATAAACAGAATGCATCAACTACTTCCTGTTTTCTTGCAATTCTCCTCCTCTGCAACAGAAAGGAACATGAAATTGATGGCCACCCTTTCTAATATTTGAAATTCATTTTAAGGAGGTAAAAATTTCAAAGTTGGTAGACTATGTGGTGGTACATACCAGAACTAGAAAAGGATAAGCAAAAGATTCACATGTTCAGTGCTGTCCTGGGGCTACTTAGAAAAACTCTATCTCAAATATATACATATAGGACAGGTGTGGTGGTACAATCTGTAATTAATGCAGGAAGACAGCTGAGTTTAAGGAAAGCCTACATACACTACATAACAAATCGCAGACCAGCCTGAGGATTGCAGAGAGACACTGTCTCGATAAAGGAAGATAAGGGTCAACAAATTGTCTCAGCCAGTAAAGGTACTACCATCAAGCCTGAAAACCTGAGTTCAGCCACTGGGACCTACACAGTAGGACAAAAGTTGTATTTTGACCTCCACATGTTGAGGAATACACACACACAATACATATATACATCCACACATAATACATACATACAGACAGACAGTATAAATTAAAAACAGACAAAGGAAAGAAGTTGATAGAATCAATTCACAGGTTTTTAGATCTCTCTGAAGAACTAAACCAGCTGAAATATATTACTTTGCCCAGCCACAGACACATGAATGTCCCATATCACATACTTGATGATTCATGCTGAATTCATTCAAGCAGAACCTGTCTTCTTAACTGTGGTAAAACACATAATATATTTGTGAACAAATCTTACTTTATAGATTACTGGACAAAGTGTTATGCTTCTGAGGAAATACAGTTCTTTGAAAATACAAATGTAACAAAGAGCTTATGTCTTTAAAAGTTAGTGAGCTCGCTTTATACTTGAACTTCCTACAAATAGTGGTAATAGATCATGTGATCCAAAGAGAATATTATTTACTTCAAAAGTTGTGATATCGAAGGTTATTTGTTCACAAGAGAGAATTTTAGTCTTGAAGAGAAAATAATTTCTAGAGATAAGCTAAAATGTGACCAACTGGGCCTGTACTGCGATGACATGAGTCTGAATCAGTGAAGAAAATCATGTCTCTTCTACAAGGCCAGCTGCATAGATGTTATGCAGTGTCCCAAGGAAGCACACACACGGAGCAGCAGCATAGCTAACCTTCATGAGACCCAACACATGCACAATGCGTATGTGCACAACTAATTGTCATCAGAATAAGCTAGGCTTCTAGGACTCGCTGTGCACTGGGACTTCCTGCTTACATCATTATCATTGTGGGGGGTTTTATTTACACTGTCTGAGAGGAATGAGGAAGTTGCATAACTTGCTGAAGGCTACACAGACAGGGAGCAGATGTACTGGAGAAGTTTCCAGTGGCTCAAGGCTCAGTCTGTTTTTCTTTTGTTTCTTACTTTTTTAAAAAGATAAACCTTAACTATATATTTCAGGTTGGACTTGAACTTGGTATCCTAAATGTTGCTGAGCTTGTAACACACCATTGTACCTGACTTGCTGGGTCCATTCTTTCAGTATACACATTTGGTGACTAATGAAAATACTATAGATTGGGGACAATAATAAGTGCTGATGCTTCTGTGGTTTGAGTCAAATTCTTTTAAGAGTGAATTGATTGCTCATAAGAATATTTCTTTTAGTCCTAAGAATACACATTCTGACAGGATGCTAAGAATGGTTTTAGTATGATTCTTGTCCTAGGAAGTGTTTGAACAAGATGCTAAAGAAATGCTCTGTTGAGAAGAGCAGGGGGAATCCCACTTTATTCTCCAACAAGAATCTCAGTTCCTGCAAGCAGGGTCTAAGGGGTTTTTTGTTTGGTTGGTTGGTTGTTGTTGTTTTGTTTTACTTTGTTTTGAATTTATTAGCTACATAAACTTTTTTTCTATTTAAATTTGAAACAAGGTTGTTTTACATGTCAATCCTAGTTCCCTCACCCTTCCATCCTATCCCTATCACCCCTACCAAACCCCAGCCCATCCCCTTTCTGCTCCCCAGGGAGGGTAAGGACCTGCATGGGGAGTCTTAAAAGTCTGTCATATCATTTGGGGCAAGGGTCCATAAGTTCCCCCTTGTTCAGGTCAGCTGATTCTGTGGGTTTCTCCAGCCTGGTCTTGATCCTTTTGCTCATCATTCCTCCCTCTCTGTAACTGGATTCCAGGAGTTCAGCTAGTGTTTAGCTGTGGGTGTCTGCTTCTGCTTGTATCAGCTACTGGATGAGGGCTCTATGATGGCATATAAGGTAGTCATCAATCTCATTATCATGGAAGGGCATTAAAGTTAGCCTCTCCACTATTGTTTAGATTGTTAGGTGGGTTCATCCTTGTAGGTCTTGGACATTGTCCCTAGTGCCAGATTTCTCCTTAAATCTATAATGGCTCCCTCTATTATGGTATCTCTTTTCTTGTTCTCCTCTGTTCTTTCCCTTTCTCAACTTTCTTGTTCCCTCATGCCCACCTCCCCACCCCCTTCTCCCATTCTCTTTCTCCTAACTCCCTCTCCTCTCCCTCCATGCTCCCAATTTGCTCAGATCTTATCCCTTTCCCCTTCTCCAAGGAACCCTGTATGTCTCTCTTAGGATCATCCTTTTTCCTAGCTTTACTAGCGGTGTGAATTGTAGGCTGGTAATACTTTGCTCTATGTCT